CTGCTGCTGCTGCTGCTGCTACTGCTACTACTACTATCGCACGTTGTGTCCATTATTCAAAACCTTGCAAAGAAATATAGGCAAGACTTGATAATTTTACTATAGGATAAAGAACCTTCTTGCCCAGAAGAAGAATGAAGGGTTATTTATTTAATGTTGAAGTTGAACGTCTACTTAAGTTCACATATTGTGCGTTGTATCGACGACTGATGCTAGGGTCTCCTTTAGGAAATCATGCATAAAAGAACTAATTTCTGAAAAGAACATGCTATCTTGTTCCATGGGCGGCTCGTGGTTTGTAGAACTAACTGGTTGTCACTCACATAGCAGTGCAACGACACCGCAATGAACCCTATTTCTCTTTTTGGGCTGCTTCAAATCGGTTTAGGTACTTATTGAATGTTGACAAATATTAGTTTGCATTTACTTGAAACTGAATGGAAATCCCTATTAGCAATAAATCTTATGTACACTGTCCAGTTGACAATAAGTGTCCAACTCCGCTGGTTTTGTCCAGCTAACGAACCCCCCCCCCCTGTCAAGATCCCTATCGGATTCGAACCTAAAACGTCTGCCAGTTGGCTACTTTGTACAGATATAACTGAGTCCAGAACGGGCAAAGACACTTGGAAGAAATGATTGTTTCAAACGCAAAGACTTAAAACTCTATAGATCTGATATTATTGTAATTTTTCTTTTTCTTTCTTTTTTCCTTTAGAATTGAACCAGGACTTAACAAGATGGCTGCTCTGCATTTCCTGTTGGCCTTTGTCTTTTTTGCTGCCCTAGTTCCTTCAGTGGAAGCTCAAGTGTTGAGTGTCGTGTGTCTCGTTCTAGACGCAATACAAGATTTTCTGCGTAAGAAATACATCTCGTATTTTCTGTAATGATGTTGCTCAGCAGTTATGGCAAGAAACAAGGGGGGGGCTAGGCATTTTCTTAGTTAGTATCACCCTGCGCTATGGTGAGGGTGACGCTGGTTCGAATCCCGAATGGGGTGTTCATGAACATGGGTTATAGGCGGTAGTTTTCAAACCTTTCCACCTGCTTGACTCGATCGTATTGGAAATGGACGTTGATTTCTGAGGTCCTGCCACTTGACAGCGTTACAGTGTTGAAAGGGACGTGAAATTCTTTAAAGCATCAAAACACAAGTAGCTACTCTTGTGTAACCTAAAAGAAACTGGATCTTGTTGTTGCTGTTATTGTTATTCTTCCTGTTGTTATTATTGCTTGTTGCTAAACGCCTTGCCAGAAACAATAAATAGGCCTTGTCCAGCTCACCTGGGTGAAGGTAAATATTGGAGGTAAGACGAAAAAAGCACTTCTGACAGTACTTGTAACAGAACCCAGAATTTCACCTCTTGGTCATTTTAGTCAAATAACCGTATCACACGGGTTTCTGGTAGAGTCTAGATCTTTCAGCTGTTTAGAATAACAAACTAACAATTTAAATTTTTTAAAAAGGCTATATAAACCCAACCAACAACGACAACACCCCTACATTCTATTGATGCTATTCGACAGGCAGAGATCAAAGAGGAATATTCTGCAGTTCTATTTATTCGACTGAAGTCTTAATGATTTATTTTGTTCTGTAATTTGTTGGATTTCTTATTTTCAGTTAGTTGAGGGGCAACTAGCTTGCTTCAAAGTGAAAGGTTAAGGTCTCCTCATACTTCTTATTAGCCAAAATAGATTATAGATTGTTGAGCATAAATCAATTGTTTTACAATGTTCCCACCCCACTATCTACCTGCCATGTTGGTACAAAGTATGTTACAAAGTTCACCCGCCTCTGTGATCTCCGACGTTCAAATCTGAGAGAGATACGGAATATTTTTCTGATCCTTACTTGAATACCCCCTCTCTGCCCAGTATGTCCAGTGGACGTCAACAAGAGATTATTTACTCCGGAAAAGGGGTGGAGGTGGGAGGGGAGAGGTGGCGCTATGACTACCCAGGAGACTTGGTGTTGCCAGTGTTGGTCACTTCATAATGACCCATTTTTATGTGAGCTCTGTGTTTACAGAATGTGTAAAAGTGATGGCAATTCTGATTCGGACTCCTTGAAATTAATAATGATATGACTTTCAAACAAGCTTCAACATTACCTGGAGAATTGAGTTTGTATTTAGATTCATATGGCAATGTGTTTTTACCTTCCACTTTGTGGGTGTTCACAGGAATTATTTTGGACAAACTCAATTTCGTAAACAAGAAAATTCCTTAGAATTCGAAATAGGACCACCTGGACTCCCCAGCATTTGATCCATTAGAATTCTTTCCCTCGAGAGAGAGAGAGAGAGACAGAGAGAGAGAGAGAGAGAGAGAGAGAGAGAGAGAGAGAGAGAGAGAGTTAAAGAACAATAAATATCGTTTCTGTATCTTGTGGTTAAAACTTGATGTACGGCAATACCGCATATTATAAAGATAGTTTATATAATTTTATCGTCTTTGAGATTGAGATAGCACAAGCGTTTGTCACAAAATCTCACAGCCTATCATACGACACAATGCTAAAAATACTTCCTGCAGTGCAAACACAATAACATGGCTGGTCCGCTCCCTCTTTTGAGATTGATTTAATTTGTTCTGTGCCATGCTCGAAGATACGCCTCACTGAACATCCATTTATTAAGGGCCATCTCACAGACACCGCTTGACCTTTTGAACCTGTTTTAATCAATTACTTAGTCAATGGGATCCTCAAAAGACAATGATAGGTCAGCCGATCCCAGTCATCGTTGTCAAAGCTAATTGTACTGTAATTTCTTCCGGATACGTGTAAACAAGTGAACTGATCATTTTGATTTTCTATTGTAACCTGGTGATTCAGCTAAGGTTAACCGGACGGACGAGAGTCCACCAGACCTTTGGCTCGGAACAGTGACAATTTTAACATGTCTGATAGCTCTCCCTGCTCTAATAATACTATTAGTCAATACTATTAGTTTTATCATTCTCTTGATCTGCTCCTGGCTACATGGTGTTGTTGTTATTATTGTTGTTGCGGTTTTTACTCTCTGTTGTTGTTGATGTTGTTGTTGTCTGTTGTTGTCGTCGTCGTCGTCTTCGTCATTGTTGTTGTTTTATCGTTGTTGTTGTTATTTTTATTGTTTTTGTTGTTTTATTGCTGTTGTTTTTGCTGTTATTGTTGCTGTTGTTGGTGTTGTTGTTGTTGTTGTTTTGCTGATACGCTGCAAACTTTAAACAGGTAAAAAGAGATGAATCAGATGGTAAACGACTGCACCAGCCACCCGACGAGATAGCAGGAATCTCTTCCAGATTATTTGTCAGCACTCGTATAAGGCTTCTCGTTCCAGTGGGGTGTTCGCGCCATTGGGCTGTTGTGCGGGTGGCCGAAGTTCCAGTCAAATGAGGCATTTGAACCTTTCTGTATTTTTAAGTCCCTCCACCAATTTGGCTCTGTGCTATAGGGGTTGTCGTATCATGGACTTCCTATTCTCAATCAAATACTTCTTTATGTTTAGGTGCAGGAGGGTATGTTTGGGTGTGGGTAGCGAAAGCATGCTGTACATTCTCATCAACATCATCATTCACTTCTTTGTTGGTTAACAATGATAATTAGTTTTTCAAAAAATAGCAATATGAAAGTTAAGTTATGATATTTGTGTGCTTTCTTTCAGTGTGCAATCTCCCGGCAAACGTCTTCTGCTTTGTTCCCGAGCTTCTGGATGACCTTTTGTGCTAACAATAAGGTGAAGCTTGATTTAGAAGTAATTGTAGTAGTAGTAGTAGTAGTAGTAGTAGTAGTAGTAGTAGTAGTAGTAGTAGT